TTAGCCTGGGGAAATCTTGTTTCAAACCCTTTTCACTTTTTAGTTTCTTTTCGCTTGGAGGTGGGGGTTCCAAACTGGTGCCGATCTCCAAAATGGGCCTAACGTACACGGGTAAGGGCCCGAACGATTCCTTTTTAAAATGTCGGAATGCTGTTTGGGTTTGCCAGGCCCCTAGTGCGCAGTTATTTGGTTGATGTGCGCTTTAGGAGATGTGCCCGGTTTTATACCACCCCAGATCTTTTTCCTGAGTGAGTTTTAGCTCTGACCCCCCTAACTGTACCCAACTGCGGGGTTCTTTGCCCTACCCCCTTTCCCCTGATTTGCACTTGGGGGATTGAATCCGGGCCAGTTGCTGGACCGGGCTGCGCCTGTCGTGTGTGTGTGTGTGTGTTGTGTGTGTGTGTGTGTGTGTGGGGTGTGTGTGTGGTGTGTGTGGTGTGTGTCGCAAGGGTGCGCGCGTGCCGTGCGTCTGTCTTTTTAAAATTTTAAAGTTCTTGTACAAGGATACGGCCAGCCACATCACGTATAGTTATGCAGAGCATTTCGGCCCAATTGTCAATTTTTGCCCCCCAGGGGCGACCCACACCCGTCGTCAAAAACCCCGGTACCTATTTTTCTGATAGGTGTCAGGGGGGGGCAGTGTCTTAAGGAAACACATCCCAAAAGTTTCCCAAACCCTATCGGGGTTCGACCCCCGCAGCCAAGCAACAAGGTCCTAAATCGGATACGAACACCTCCATGTAGTCCCAGACTTGGTGAGGTAGGGACCCCAAAACCCCGTAATCGAAAACCAATTACTTCCAAAAATTTTTTTGGGGAAAAAAACTATAAAAGTTACGGCAAAAGCCCAAGGCAAAGAGGTATTAAAGGGCCAATTTAAACAACGGAAGCAGATCCAAATCACTCCATTATTTTTTTGGGGAAAAAAAGTTAGTTACCTGAGGGCGTTTTCTTTACGTGGGGCCGGGGCCCCCTTTAAAATGCGGAGGGTTCAAGTGACCCCGCCGTAGATAAATTCCCCTTGACCTCCCAGCAAGAACACCACCATAGTTATACAACCACTCATAAAACAATAACAAAATTATTCTATTAAAAATAACAGTTTCAAAAATTAGAATTAGATTTGTCGAAAATATTTATTAAATATATATATTATATAATTTATATAATAATATATTTTAAAAATTTTTATTATTATTTTTTTTATTATTATTTAGTAGAGTAGTAATAGTAGCAGTGTGTAGACGTAGTAGTGTAGCCTTTGTAGTAGTAGTAGTAGTAGTAGTAGTATAGAGTATTTTTCGTAGTAGTAGTATGGGAAAAAAGGAAGACAAAAATAATTTGAACTGATAAATCACAGCTCTTCCCTTTAGAATAAATCCACGTTTGAACAATTTTATTTACAAGTTTACGGTTTACCTTGAATTAAAAAACTCTTACACAATATAATTGATTATAAGGCCATCACATCTACGTGCCCTCAAGACTGCCGGAAAGTAATTTCAAGAAACCTAATGGAAATAAATCACTTTTTTGGGTGGTTATCTTAGGTAATCTACAAATATGTTGTTATGAATGATAATTTATGTAACTGTATTAATGTGTACCTGTACCTGAATAAACTTACTGAGTGAACAATACACAAATAACTTAGTGAACACTTTAATGAAAGAAAGTACACTGTAGTGCAGGAATACTTGAGTCCTCCCTTACAGGAACATTTTCGCTGGTCCCGGACCTATAATAATGACCATTTTCTTTGGTGAAACAACTCCATTTTAGGATAACTGCCTTCATGACACTCACGTGCTCTTCATCCATGGTACTGGAGCTATCCAGGTTCCTTGGATCAAGCTTGATCATCTCTCATTCTTCCGAGATGGTGTGGTGCGTGACGTGTACATGGATGAGAGAGGGTGTACATGGATGTGAGAGGGTGTACATGGATGTGAAGGTGTACATGGATGTGAGAGGGTGTACATGGATGTGAGAGGGTGTACATGGATGTGAAGGTGTGCATGGTTGTGAGTGGGTGTACATGGATGTAGAGGGGTGTACATGGATGTAGAGGAGGGTGTACATGGATGTGAAGGTGTGCATGGTTGTGAAGTGGGTGTACATGGATGTGAGAGGGTGTACATGGATGTGAGAGGGTGTACATGGATGTGAGAGGGTGTACATGGATGTGAAGGTGTGCATGGTTGTGAGTGGGTGTACATGGATGTGAGAGGGTGTACATGGATGTGAGAGGGTGTACATGGATGTGAAGGTGTGCATGGTTGTGAGTGGGTGTACATGGATGTGAGAGGGTGTACATGGATGTGAAGGTGTGCATGGTTGTGAGGGTGTACATGGATGTGAGTGGGTGTACATGGATGTGAGAGGGTGTACATGGATGTGAAGGTGTGCATGGTTGTGAGAGGGTGTACATGGATATGAAGGTGTACATGGTTGTGAGGGTGTACATGGATGTGAGTGGGTGTACATGGATGTGAGAGGGTGTACATGGATGTGAAGGTGTGCATGGTTGTGAGAGGGTGTACATGGATATGAAGGTGTACATGGTTGTGAGGGTGTACATGGATGTGAGAGGGTGTACATGGATGTGAGAGAGTGCACATAATAAATACTACTACCACCACTACTACTAGTACTACTACTACTAATAATAATAATAATAATAGTATATCTTTATTACTACAAGTACATGTACAGGGTATACAGGCCTTAACTGACATCAATGACATACTACTATATAGAAAGCTCACCCTTCTCCCTCCCCCGTAACACTCACTCATCCCTCTCCCTCCCCCGTGACACTCACTCATCCCTCTCCCTCCCCCGTGACACTCACTCATCCCTCTCCCTCCCCCGTGACACTCACTCATCCCTCTCCCTCCCCCGTGACACTCACTCATCCCTCTCCCTCACCCGTGACACTCACTCATCCCTCTCCCTCCCCCGTGACACTCATTCATCCCTCTCCCTCACCCGTGTAAGTTTATTCAGGTATACACAAATACAGTTACATAGATTATCACACATAACAGCATATGTGTAGAGAACCTGGGATAACCCAAAATAGTCAGACAGAGTGACTTATTTCCAGTGGGTCCTTTTAATACCTTATTATACTATAAAGGAGATAATATTTTATTATTATACTATAAAGGAGATATACCAGGAATAAGGTAAAATGAGCTATTTACATTTACACGCGTTAGCTAAAAATATAAAAAAATAATTCTCCTCCCTTTCTGTCGCTACATTCATTAGGTACCTTTTGGTTCTCTTCCTGAACTGGTTCACGCTATGACTGACTTTCATATATGCAGACAGTCTGTTCCATTCCTTTATTGCTTTGGTTCCCAGCCTTGACAACACTGGCAACAAGATATTCTGGACACTGAGTAATTTTATAAACTTTAACTTCAATTGTCTTCAACATTCAGCATATCCAACTGCTGTAGTTCATCCTGGCCTACATGCTCTCTTGGACCCAGGTACAGGATGAATCTTACCATTTTGTTCTGGGTTATTTGTAGTCTTTTTTTTTCTTTTGTCAAGACAGAGTACCATAAAGAGCAAGCGTAGTCCATATGACAATGTGTAAGAGCTAGACATAGGGTCCTGCGAGCATCAGTAGGTAGATACTGTGCTTGTCTGTGGAGAAACTTCAGCCTGGCATTCGCTTTCTTCACTACACTGTTCCCTATCAATTCTCCTAACATGCATGAGTCGAAGGGGATTTCCAGTTATTTCACTAAGGAAAGTGAGGCGTTGGGTTCCCCATTACACAGGACATTAAAATTATTTACCCTTCTCAGTTTACATTTCGTGCCAAAAAGTATGGCTTCGTCTTCCCAAGGTGTAACGATAGTTTGTTGTCTAGTAACCATTTACTGCAGGATTCCAGTTTCAGTGTTATTACATCAGTTATATCTTGTGGGTCTTTACCTGACACTAACAGAGCACTGTCATCTGCATACAGTAGGAGTCTGCACATGACACTGATAGATATGTCTTTTACATAACAAAGGAATAACAAGGGATCCAAAATACTACCTTGGGGAACCCCACATGCTATCGGCAGGGTTTCTGATTCTGTTTTGTTGATTTGGTAATTTATTTCCTGTTGTTAAGGTAGGACTTAAACCAGTCTATGGAACCTATGCCGATAGCTTGAAGTTTCTTACATAATATATCGTGGTTGACAGTATCGAAGGGCTTCTGCAAGTCTAAGGTTACCATTCCTATGAGGTCCCCTATCAACATTTCAGTTCTCATGTAATCCGTCAGATTAATTAGGAAGGTGTCGGTTGAATAAGATCTCCTAAAGCCTGATTAGTAACTATGGAGAATGTTGTTGTCATTAAGATACTTAACTACTTGACAGTAAACCGCCCTCTCTAGAATTTTGGATAGCACACTGAGTATACTAACAGGGCTATAGTTGTGGACATTAGACCTACTATTTTTGTTGAAGACAGGAGTAACTCTGGCCTCTTTGAACCCCTCCGGTGCGGTGTTAGTGGTGATGGACAAATTTATTATGTGATCAATGAGGATTGGCAATTCAGAGGCACCATCTTTTAGGAAATTAGACGGGATGTTATCTGGGCCGGTGCTCTTAGTTGGGTTTAACCTGCTCAGTTCTTTTTGCATGAAGTCATGAAATACACTTACTAGTTGACAACTGTTTACTGATATAGTATGTTTTATATTTATCAAAGTCTATGGTAAAGGTATTTGATGCAGTCGGTAGTTTACTTACTAGTGTTGATGCGACAGATGTGTAGTAGGAATTAAACAATATGCCACTTTAGTTATTTTGTGGCATACCTCGGCAGCGATATTTAGAACTATGTTAGATCTATCTACGGGTTTATGGTTATACCCCAACTGTTTTAATTGTTGTCAGAGCTTTCTGGGTTATTCTTGTACTCTTCAATTTTTTTTAGCAATAGTGCCTTGCCGTGACACCCACTCATCCTTCTCCCCCCTATGACACTCACTCATCCCCTCTCCCCCCCATGACACTCATCCTTCTCCCCCTTCCCCATGACACTCACCTCAAGTACCTCATCGCCGACCTTGATGCGACCGTCCTTGTAGGCGTTACCACTGGGGTTAAGACCGCAGACGAAAGCGGACATGAGGGTACGATCCTTGTTACCCGCCAGGGAGATGCCCAGTCCATTGACACCCTTCTGCAGGTCCACCAGGATCACCTCGCCCTTCAGGTCACCATACTTCTTCTGGATCTTCTCTGCAAGTGTACACACACAACTTGTAAATATTTGCTTATAAAAAAACAAAAACTATATTTTTTTATGATTCTGTGAAGCTAATGTGAATGTAAAAAAGATTGCAAAAAAAGTGATTTTGTAAATACAAAGCCACAATGAGGGAAAAGTTGGAGCTCAAGGCCTTTCGCACTGTCACTAGTGCTTCGTCAGGAGTTTGCAATATAAGAAAACTGAAAAATATGAAAAAAAATCTCAAGAGATCAACTGGAAAGGTGCAGCGAACAACAAACGTGTCTCCAGGCCAAGAATCAAGCAAGTACACTAAGTAAACCACGGGATATACAGGTATGGTTTTAGAAATAAGAGCCCTTTCGGTATATAGTGTAGACTATTATCAGACACCTGTAGTCATTCAAGGAATTGAGACAAACAAATATGTGCACTTGTACAGACACAAGTCACATACACAGACAACAGTCACATACAAGTCACATACACATACAACAGTCACATACAAGTCACATACACAGACAACAGTCACATACACATACAACAGTCACATACAAGTCACATACACAGACAACAGTCACATACAAGTCACATACACATACAACAGTCACATACAAGTCACATACACATACAACAGTCACATACAAGTCACATACACAGACAACAGTCACATACAAGTCACATACACATACAACAGTCACATACAAGTCCATACACTACAACAGTCACATACAAGTCACATACACAGAAAACCCAAGTCACATACAAGTCACATACACATACAACAGTCACATACAAGTCACATACACAGACAACAGTCACATACAATCACATACACATACAACAGCCCACATACAAGTCACATACACATACAACAGTCAAAATACAAGTCACATACACAGACAACAGTCACATACAAGTCACATACACATAAAACAGTCACATACAAGCCCACAACACAGACAACAAGTCACATACAAGTCACATACACATACAACAGTCAAAATACAAGTCACATACACATACAACAGTCACATACATCAGTCACTACACATACAACAGTCACAAACACATAGTCACATACATCAGTCCCATACACATACAGCAGTCACAAACACATACATCAGTCACATACACATACAGCAGTCACAAACACATACAATAGTCACATACAACAGTCACATACCATACAACAGTCCATACATCAGTCACATATAAGTCACATACACATCCCAACAGTCACAAACGTCACATACACATACAACAGTCACATACATCAGTCACATATAACAGTCACATACACATACAACAGTCACATACATTAGTCACATACACATACAAGCACATACATCAGTCACATATAACAGTCACATACACATACAACAGTCATATACATTAGTCCATACACATACATCAGTCACATATAACAGTCACATACACTTTACAATAGTCCATACATCAGTCACACATACAACAGTCACAACACAAAACATCACATACACATACAACAGTCACATACACATACAACAGTCACATACATCAGTCACATACAACAGTCACATACACATACAACAGTCACATACATCAGTCACATACACATAAAACAGTCACATACATCAGTCCAACATACAACAGTCACAATACACATACAAGTCACATACATCAGTCACATACACATACAAGTCACATACACATACAACAGTCACATATACAACAGTCACATACATCAGTCAAAATACACATACAAGTCACATACACATACAACAGTCACATATACAACAGTCACATACATCAGTCACATACACATACAACAGTCACATACACATACAACAGTCACATACATCAGTCACATACAACAGTCACATACACATACAACATCACATACATCATTTCCACATACACATACAAGTCACATACACATACAAGTCACATACACATACAAGTCACATATACAACATCACATACATCAGTCACATACACATACAACAGTCACAAAACACATACAAGTCACATACACAGTCGCATACACATACAACAGTCACATACACATACAACAGTCACATACACATACAACAGTCACATACACATACAAGTCACATACACATACAACAGTCACATACACATACAAGCACATACACATACAACAGCCCACATACACATACAAGTCACATACACATACAAGTCACATACACATACAACAGTCACCTACACATACAACGGGTCACATACACATACAACAGTCACATACATATACAACATTTCACATACACATACAACAGTCACATACACATACAACAGTCACCTACACATACAACAGTCACATACACATACAACAGTCACATACATATACAACAGTCACATACACATACAACAGTCACATACACATACAACAGTCACCTACACATACAACAGTCACATACAACAGTCACATACACATACAACAGTCACATACACATACAACAGTCACATACCACCTCTATCACCTACATCAATCACATTTTCTATCTCCCCCTCATTTCATAATCTATCTTCCCATCCTCTTCTTACATTTGTCTCCTTATTTAATTCACTGATTACCTTATTTAATCAACAAAACAGACATAAAACGCCCACACAACAGTAATGATGTTAATAAATCAGTTTTTGTTAGTACATATTATAAATATTATTATTATCGACACATTATTATACTGGGGAACAAGCGGCAAAACCGCATGGGTCATAGATCATCAACAACGCAAATGAGACTGTTGCAGAAATATTGTTGCAACTCTTGACAACATAGATACAAAAAACATTTTTAATATCTCTGTCGTGTGTGGTCTGGTGTGGTCTGGGACCGCGTCGCGGGGGCCATGACCCAGCAACCTGGCATACACTAAACATGTATATTTTACCATTAACTGTTCTCTCTCTCTCTCTCTCTCTCTCTCTCTCTCTCTCTCTCGAGCTAGGAGAGTACAGTCAAGTAGTGTGTCAATCTCTGGATTACAGGAGGGAGGATCGAGCCTTCACCGCACCTTGTGCTGGAGCATCCACGCGGGTTTGGCGCTTTTTACATAAAATTAATAACGCCAAGACTTCTCTCTCTGTGTTCACCAATCCTCCGCTTGTTCTCTTAACCTTTGATTCATTTCTAACTCTCACTCTTCCCCTCACTTCTTCCTCTTATCCCTCCTTAACCTCTTCCTACTTACTAGCCCACCTCCTCCCCCTCCCATCCTCCCCCCTCCCATCCTCCCCCTCCCCTCCGCCCCTCCCCTCCTAGTCAGCTGGACTTTCAAATTCACATATATTTTTAAAAAGGATTTTTTTATAAACACCATGAATCATCTCTCCCCTTCCCTCCCACCCCTCCCACCACCCCCTTCCCTCACCCCCTCCCACCACCCCCTTCCCTCACCCCTCCCACCACCCCCTTCCCCTCACCCCCCCCACCACCCTTTCCCCCACCCCGCCCACCACCCCCCTTTTCCCCCACCCCTCCCATCATCTTCCCTCAAACCCCCCCCACCACCCCCCCTTCCCTCACCCCCTCCCCATCATCTTCCCCCTCACCCCTCCCACCACCCCCTTCCCTCACCCCTCCCACCACCCCCTTTTCCCTCACCCTCCCACCACCCCCTCCCTCACCCCTCCCACCACTCCCTTCCCTCACCCCTCCCACCACCCCCTCCCTCACCCCCCCCCACCAAACCCCTTCCCTCACCCCTCCCACCCCCCCTTCCCTCCCCCTCCACCCCCCCCTTCCCCCACCCTCCCCCCCCCCCCCCCCTCACCCCTCCCCCACCCCCTTCCCCACACCTCCCATCATCTTCCCTCACCCCTCCCACCACCCCCTTCCCTCCCCCCCCCCCCACCCCCCCTCCCACCACCCCCTTCCCCCCACCCGTCCCATCATCTTCCCCACCCCCCACCACCCCCCCTTTCCCCCACCCCCCCCCCACCCCCTCCCTCACCCCTCCCCCACCCCCCTTCCCCACCCCCCCATCATCTTCCCTGACCCCCCCCACCCCCCCCTTTTCCCCCCCCCCCTCCCACCACCCCCTTCCCTACCCCTCCCACCACCCCCTTCCCTCACCCCTCCCACCACCCCCTTCCCCCACCCCTCCCCCCACCCCCTTCCCTCACCCCTCCCCACCCCCCTTCCCCCACCCCCCCCATCACTTCCCTCACCCCCCCCACCACCCCCTTCCCCCACCCCTCCCATCAACTTTCCCCCACCCCTCCCACCACCCCCCTTCCCTCACCCCCCCCCACCACCCCCTTCCCCCACCCCCCCACCACCCCCACCCCTCCCCCTCCCACCACCCCCCCCTCACCCCTCCCTTCCCCCACCCCTCCCACCACCCCCTTCCCTCACCCCCCCCCACCCCTTCCCCCACCCCTCCCACCCCCCCTTTCCCCCACCCCCCCACCACCCCCTTTCCCCCCCCCTCCCCCACCCCCTTTCCCTCACCCCCCCCACCCCCCCCTTCCCCACCCCTCCCTCACTCCCTCACCCCTCCCACCACCCCCTTCCCCCACCCCTCCCCCACCCCCTCCCCCACCCCTCCCACCACCCCCTTCCCCCCCCCCCTCCCACCACCCCCTTCCCTCACCCCTCCCACCCCCCCCTTCCCCACCCCTCCCATCTCTTCCCCACCCCTCCCCCCCACCCCCTTCCCTCCCCCTCCCACCACCCCCCTTCCCTCACCCCCCCCCACCCCCTTCCCCACCCCTCCCACCACCCCCCTTCCCTCACCCCTCCCACTACCCCCTTTCCCCCACCCCCCCATCATCTTTCCCTCACCCCCCCACCCCCCCCTTCCCTCACCCCTCCCACCCCCCCCTTCCCTCACCCCTCCCACCACCCCCTTCCCCCACCCGTCCCCATCATCTTCCCCCTCACCCCTCCCCCCACCCCCCCTTTCCCTCACCCCCCCACCACCCCCTTCCCTCACCCCTCCCCACCACCCCCTTCCCCCACCCCCCCACCACCCCCCTTTTCCCCCCCCCCCCTCCCACCACC